TTCATCAGCGGAAAAACTTCTTGCGAAATTTCTTAGGGATGTTTCGGATGCAGTGCGCTCAAAATACGGTATGCCAGGCAGTATTCTTACAGTCCCGTTTGATTTCAGGAAGTGACTAAATATTGGGATATACTCTATATCTGTAGAATTAGTGAGTGTTAGACGAATTAGCCTTGGGCGATTTTGATGCTTAGAGTCCGTTCCCCGAGTAAACCGCGTGACCGTCAAACGCTCCATTTTTGGAAGTTCGAGCTTCTTGTTTAACTCTTCCCAGTGCATCCTGTCATGTTTATCCTACAAAATGTGGGCAAAGTCAGGGCTGTCTTTAAGGTTCATGATTATGAGAGAATCATCGCGAACCATTATCGTTTTCCCAGGTTTTCAGGTGCGTTTAGGTTGAAAACCTTGTTGTTTGGATACTAAAGCGCGTTTCCGATTCTTAGGCTGTTTGGGGTAAACTGTACTGCCAAATCACCAGTTATTATCCCTGAAATATTTGGGATGTTTATCTTTCAAGGCGGTGACATCTGGTTTTTTTTGACTTTGTTAAGGGGGCTACAATCGCCCAAAGAGTGTTTGCGCACCGCCGTTGCATACAGAGATCTTGTGTTGGGAGACCCAAGTCTGCTGAGGGACTCTATTTCTGTCGATGTTATGATAATGTTGAGTTTCAGCACTTCATCAACAATGTTATTATATGCTCCATCGACAGTAGCACTGTTGATATCCCTCTTCTGGTATTCATTGTGGATCTTTGTTTATCTATCCGGTTTAGGACTGTCTTCTTTCAACATTGCTGACTACTTATTTTGCAGACTTATCAATAGTGCAGTGAGGTTGCTCAGCAAAACTTCAGCATCGGTGTTGCACGTGACACATACTCACCCATCGTCCGACTCACTGAATCTGTTTTATGCAGTTACTGTGAGATCTGTGTATGCTTCTGGGAACTAACCTTTTGTTGCATAAGTACACAGTAGGATCTAACGTCCCGTTCAAAAAACGCGCGCAGAAGATATAGACAGACTACCATATAGAATGTAATCACCATCACAGAAACGCGATTGTCTCAGTGTGTGGACAATGGGGTCTAGACTATGAAAATCTCGTATTTTTAATGATCAACAGGACCCATAAACATAGAGCAGGAGGAATAGCTATGTTAACTGAAAATGTATCCCTTTTACTGTTGCCAATAATATATCTTATGAAGGTGGGATTCGCGACCTAGTTTAAGGATGCCACATGTATTCTCATTTTGAAAACGCCTTTACTGGTAATACTTTTGTAATAGGATCATACCAATTCAGTCAAATCAGGAATGAAGGGGTTCGATGATATATCTGGGAGGCTATCGGTATGTCGAGATGTGTTTGGTCTAAGCTGGCTAGCAGTCTCCAGTGATGAGTAGTACGGTAAATCCACTCGTGATCTGGTGTGGGTGTGTGACCGAGCGCCTTCAGCTAGGCGAGTCCGATGAAACTAATGAGGTCAGCATCAAATATCAAGGATTTGCAGAGCTATGACTGTTACATTTCACTCCTCCCCAGTAGTGCAACAAGTAACTTGAAATCTAACCAGTCAAAAGTTTTAATCCAACGACTTAGTCGTTCGCAAACACTCTTCTGATAACTTGCCTTGTTCAGCAACGTCTGGTCGTCTCTTCTTTATATAAAGGACCATGTGTTACAAAATAGTAAACGTCGTCAATTTTTCGGAAAGAAATATAAGTGTATATCGAATTACACTCGTATATGCGCAAAGACATAATACGGGAGAAAAAGGAAAAATAAACTCATATACATGCGTTTCGTAAACACGCAACTGCGTGAAAGTGATTTTTGCAGAATGGTTTCTTGGTTTTGAAAAAAATTAAATATTCACGTGTTAGCGAGCATATTAGCAAACGATAAAATTGTTTTTTGTTGTAATACATGTACATATAAACGTATTAAAAATAACACAATGAAAATTTGAAACGAAACACAATGGTATTTAGTGTCTTACTTACAGTGGTGGTTTGTGCATTGTGAAAACCTTACTCTCTCCACAGAACACGTTGTTTTGAGTCGGTTGTCAGATACGGCCGAAGTATCATCGTGATTGTTCATTATCGGGTGAGGTATTAAATTTTGGGACTTACGTCTTTCTACTGTACCTAAGGAAAATCGACATGAATATGGTTTCCTTCTAAGTACGCAGCTTCGATGCGATCGATGCTGATGCTACCGTTAGTTCCATTCTCATCGATTATATAGTACTACAGCTCATGCCGAAAAACTTCGAAAGGTCCTTCGTATGCCGTTTTGACAGGTCGTCGATGTGAATCGCGACGTACGAACATGTGTGTACCGCATTGTAGGACAAGTTGAGCACAATATCAGTCAACTGAAGTCGAGTGAAAACAGGTTTAACTGAATGCATTGCATTTTTAAGCCTGTTCGTGTAGGGGTTTTGATCCATATTCATTGAGGAAGATGAAAGATTCACAAATTCTCCTAGAGGTCGAGATGTCGTTCCACAAAAAAAGTTGAGCTCCCTCTATCCAATGTCAGTTTTCACTACATTGTGAATACCAAATAAGTCGAGTGGAGGGGGGTCAGTCCGCTATGAAACGTTTGCAGCTGATAGTGAAGCTTTTAGTTGTCGGTAAAAGCGTGGACGGCAGGCGGTCGTTCGGAAGTGAGTGATTCCTAAAAGTGTGGTCAGACAACGGAAAAGTTCAAATTTAAACTGACATCCGCGATCTGTGGTGATGGTTGAACGGGAAGCCGAAGTTTGCTACCCATCGTTCGACGAAAGGTGCGGGACACTTTTTCAGCAGTGATGTCATTGATGGGTGCTGCTTTTGGACATCGGGTGAAACGGTCTACGCAGGTTAAGAGATAAGAGTATCCATTTGAATTTGATAAGGGTCCTACCAAATCCAGATGAACATGGTCGAAACGAGCGTCTGTAGTTTTGAAAGAGCCTAAGGGACAACCTTAGATTTCTGGCAGCTTACACAGTAGCGTGCTCAGTCCCTCTTTTCTTACCTGTTCCCATCTGTTTGATGCGTAGCTTGAGAGTTGTAGACGATACCTCGTGCTGAAGATCTGGAGTAAACTGTGAAATGTAGTTCAATTGTCGAGACTCACGGGGAGAGTACTTGTCAGAAGGAGAGCTTAGAGAGAAGGTGAGCGGTTTGTGGTCAGTTAAAACAGTGAATTCACGGCCTCCAATTTAGTGTTGAAAATGTCGAACGGCACAATACATAGCTAGGAGTTCCCTATAGAATGTGCTGTATCTGGATTCCATGTCTAGCAACCGTAATGAAAAGAATGCCAAAGGTTGCCAGGAGTCGTTAATCAATTGTTGTAAGACTCCTCCGATTGCTGAGTCGGATTCGTCTACTGTGACAATAATAAGTGCTTGAGTGTCCTAATGTGCAAGCATTGTTGCTTTCTGGTCCTGTAGTCGTAACGTTATTGGTTAGACACCGCAATTTCAGTTGCGGTTGGTGTATCCCAGGATACTTATCGAGTAATGGTTGATATAATGGGTCTATTGTATGCTTAATTGTGACTTGAGATAATCTACAACCAGAAGAGGAAGTTACGCAAACAGATAGATTAGTGTTGCTGTCAACTTACCTCCGTTCGCGCATATCGATGATTAAATTGTGGTACTGTTGTAGGTCCATACCAATGATTGGCATGGAAACATCTGCAACATCGAAAATCCAGTGTATGGGTTTGCGTTAACCCACATTATGGTAAATGTACCTTTAACGGTATGGGGCGATAAGCCTTCCAACTTAAAACCGATTTGTGAAGCCGGTCGTTAGAATTTGCAGGGAAAACTCTAACTTCTGCGCCAGTATCGATGAGGTAGCGAACTCTCGTGATCACATCTGTGACGTATAAAACCGACGGCTATGGTCGTCGGCTACGGTTGCCGGTAACGCGTGCCGGCTTGGAAGTTTCCCGAGTTGTTTTTCGTGTCAGTCGATTTTGAGTTTGGGAAATTGAAAGGTTTTCCGAAATTTCTGGAGGATTTTCCATACTGGTTATGATATCAGCACCAGTCGAGGTTATCAGTCTCTCGTGGTCTAGAAACAGATCGCCCACGTTCAGTGCTTCTTCGTGGGGTGTGTGACCGTTTACGGTCGTCACGAAATTTAAGATAACGTGTGAGTGTATGACATAACTCTGTAATGCCATTCTGGGTCGTCTGAGGCTTTTCTCTGACTAAAAAAAATCGGTATTAGATTTCTTGATTTCTAAAATGCGACCAGCTCGTCTAAGGCGTTGTTTTGAAGCAAGACCAGCACAGCCTGCACCAGTTGAGGAAGTTTGGATAAGAAAAGTTGTTTGAATAAGCCATCATCGAAAGTTCTTAGGCCTATGACCTCTCTCATCCTTTGCAATATGTCTGTTGCAGAACTGTGTTGCAAGTCTATGTTATTAATGAGTTGGTCTAACCTTTGTCGATCGGTTAGGTCTCCTCGTTTAGGGATAAAACGTTTCAGTGTTTCGTAGGGTTCCGAAACATCACTAGTGAACATACTAGGTGTTACGTACCTGTCGAATTCGCGCGGCAGTGCCTTGACTACCGCGAGGAATTGTGCACGTGTGTCGTTCACGCCGTGCTCGTAGAAGTCGGCTTCTGCAGAGCAAAACCAGGTTTCGATGTTGTTTCGCCAGAAGGGTATCAGTTGAAACGAAGGTGGGGATATGGTCTTAAGCTCAAATACTTTGGGTGTCTGTTCAGTCATAGGGAAATGTGAAGTATGAGAATGAACGAGTGAAAAAAAATATGTCGAAAAACGGAAAACAAATATCACAATGTATAAAAAATTAAAATAAGGCAATGATATATAGAAACTCCTGACCTGGTGCGGATGCATGACCGAGCGCCTTCAACTAGGTGAGTTCATTAAAACTAATGCTGTCAGCATCCAATGTCAAAATCTTACCGAGCTATTTATTTTGGGGATTTATTTGCCGCTACAAGCATTACGCGCCTCTCTGAAGTTTTCATGTCTATCAAGATATACTGACAGCAGTTTCCCAACATGTGGTAGTTCTATACTAACAATTGCGTTTATCTGCTCTACATGGACAGTAACTATGAAAATGGAGCAAAATCAAATGACTTGAGCATCCTAAGGGTAAAGGCAGTTTGGCATGTAACTAGTCTTTGCCCAATGACATTTAACATAATCTCTACTCGAAAGCAACCCCCCTCGATTTTTTGATACTAATAGAACCTTTACAACTCACATGGCCGTATAGTGTATCATTCAGAACATTTCTAGCTAAAAGAACAAATTATAGCTTTTTTTTTGTAAAATTCTGGAAAAAATATATGGACAGAAAAGTTAGGACTTTTCGATTGTAGAGTGGCAGATAAGTAGCTTAAAGCATATAAAATCATTCCTGGCAGTAAGTATGTTTTCTACGCATTGTCATATGACAGTGTTTGTTTGATCGTTCACTAGTCGTCGTTGATTTTTTACCACTACCTGTTTGTCCATAAACGGAGGTTGTGAAGTTACCAAAAATCATCTTAACAACCATGGTTTCGTAGACATCGCTTTGTTTTGGTTGTCAATCGAACACATATGTGTTGACCATATGGTCAAATTTGAAGATTCTGAATAGAAGTATGTCAAAACTTTGATATCCATTCTTTTCTATTTGTGTTCCTGTACTACGCTATGCACGTGCCCATAAACATTTCTTCAACTCCTGCCTGTTGATAGGCTGGTGAATTACAATTGGCATATATTTTCCATGTGGCAATATTTGCTGGGGTTTTAGCTCGTTATAATGTAATTCCGCAGAATAAGCTAAGAATTTCCTATTAGTATAAGAATTTACATTCTGAGGTCTTAGCACTCTTATTATTTCCGCCTATCAATATGTGAGTGGCTTTAATTAAGGCTAATCGGATTTCATATTTTGATGAGAATCCCCAGATCAATGTAATTGTTTGATTTTCTCAGCATTTTCACTAAATTGATCACTTTCCCCCATATAGGTTGTAGCTAACGATGGGGTTCAAAACCATATATATATATATATATATATATATATATATATATATATGGCTATGATCACATTCTTTTTCAGTAGTACTTAGTGTTATCTTTGGTATTGAAATCCACAAACTTAATGATTTAGCAATGAAACACATCCAACTTTGTAGTAAAATTACCTATTTATGATTTCAGCGATCTCAGTGAGTATGAGTTGTCAGACAACACATGGAAGTACGCATGAAGCTGTAACTCACTTTTGTACTGGTGTTAACTATGCCTAAGTTTAAATAACTTGAACTGAAATACTTCACATGCTCCAGAATTACTGTTCAGAAATTCGACTTACCGACATAACAAATTGGTTTAGCTTTAGTAATAAGGAAATCCTCCGCTTATTCCTGTCAGTTGCGTATTATAAATCCATGCTTACTTGAAAATGAAGGACGCAAAAAATGTTTTTGGGATGCGAATCGCGAAACAGTTATTAACTTCAGAATGTGTGTACTTATCTAGGCTAATTGGATTCAAAGGGTCATCTATCAACAAGCCTCAGTCCCATGGATCAAAACACTTAAACCAGTGTCATAACACTCATTATGACAGTCTTAGGCTGTGTATTCTCTGGTGTTTAAAGTATCAACAATTCAGTTGCATCAGTCTAATAAGCAGTCAAAGGAAAAAGATTGTCATGTGGTGTCTTATAATGTGTAACTTTTTGTGCTTCTGGTCGAAATATATCATTATTCGCTTAAACGGGTTACAACATTTTGCTTGTTTTCTTTTCCATAGATCTAATTGTTCTTACTGTATCCACTGTTAACTTCCGGTTATTGATAAAACCTGTACTAGTAATACGATGGATGGACCACTTATCTACCTGGCAATGGATAATGCAAAAATAATCATCAGTATATTAAAAGCAGTACACTTTCGCGATGTATGTTTTGATAATTGCGTCATCCTTAGTATGTAGCTTGCCACAATATTTGCCACAAATAATGGTATTAAGGTGACAGTAGAGGACTCAAAATGCATTCAAGGAAACGCTTTTCTGCATTCAGCGCTTTTCCGTGAATACTCTGTAAAGAAGGATATAGTATCGTTTAGGACAAACCTTGGTGTGCTTGTTGTAAGTAGAGTCTAGTACTTCTTCAGGTCGTTCAGGACTGCCTTTCTATTTTTGGGACTTCAGTTCAAGGACCATCAGTTTCATTCATTTTATCCTATAAAACTCATGGGAGTGCTTTAAACATTTTGTAAGTTACTTTTAAATTATTATTTGTATACAGACTAGAAGAAAACGGAGTCGTAGCAGAATGCAACATTAAAACTATGGAGGCGTTTGAAATACTGGACTTTGATTTTTCAAGCAGTAATATCTCAGATAAATTCATAATGAAGGTTAGTTCTAAGCTAACTGTTATGCTTATGATGTTATATTATTACTGTTATAAGTACTGATCATCTGTCAATTTTAACGTATATAAAAGATGTAATGCCTGATACAAATGTATACCAAAATTTTGTACCTTACATTAACACATGTGTTAATGTAAGTGCACTTAGTGGGGATCAACAAGAAATATAAATCGTACATATGGTGGTAGAAAATGAGAACGATGCAAAACCTAGAATGTGACTAGTGAAGTGTCGAAGTGAAGAGCTTGGAGTAACACCATGTCGTAGGTTATAGTTACTTTGAGAACCTTATCTCAAAAGCATGTAACTTCGAACATAGCTCAAACCAACAATTAATGGTCTCATAGACTGTTGAGATGTCCTGACCTGGACACTCATAAACTTCCCTCAATATAATTTCCTTCTAATTATCATAAAGCGCCATAGTTGGTGGTATTTAGGCTCATCCCCCAACCAACTCAGTCGGTTGGGGCTCAAAACTATATACATCCATTTACGTTCTCTGACTAAAACGTTATACAACGATGCTTGCCCAGTAGTTTTGGTCAACACGAAAACCGCTTGGGAATTCCTGTGATAAAATACTTGTCACCTTCACATATTCTTCACCTCCGAAATGGTTTTTCGATACCATAAGATGTCTCAAAGCATATGGTTACTTAGTAGCTTTCTGTTGGATGAATAAGTCAGTATTTTGCCTGGGCTTTTTCACTAATGGTCTGTACTGTTATAAGTAAGGCAATCTGGCCTTGATATGACAGTTTAAATTTATTAAGTTACCGCTTGGGATGTTTAGGGAAACGTGCTTAACGAACGTTTTTAATGATCAGAAAAGATATGTTTCAAATACATATTTGGGGTCTTAAGCGTTTCTATTTTATAATTAACATCAACTATATAACGAAGCTACTACAGAGAGAATTCTGTTTTTTGTACAATTTTTTTTAAGATGATAAATTTATCTGTTGTAACTACGTGTGCTTTTAGTACTTCAGTTGCCTTATCCAATCTGCTTCGCTCTCCCCTCTTTTTTTTGTCTCTTTGATCGCCTATTCGAATCAAGAATGAGTGCATGAAATATACATATTCAAAGTCCATTCTCGTATTTGGCTTATTTAATTCCATTGTTCTTCTCTTCCCAAATTTATTTCACTGTATTATACTCTTTAAGTAACATCTCCAAACACTAATTTTCCCGATTACTGCTTATACTCTTATTACCTCTACCATTACGGGATTTGAATCGACCACTTCATCTGTGTGCTAATGTGGTGTGGCAACTCGGACTGATGTACGTACGTACGAAGTTCTACGTTGTTACTGACTGACTGAATTCCATTGTTCACTAACGCGAATTAAGTCGATCATTTTATACGAGGATTGACGATATGTAAATTTCAATAACATTCAATCATACGATCGACCTGGAGTCAGATATAGGGCCACTAAATACTTACTGCCATGTTTTTGAAGTGGAATTTTTTTTATTTTCACACCGGTGTATATCTATAGATGCAGTTTCTCTTTTGTGGTAAACTATTTAAATGAACATAAAGTTCTTTGAAACGTTTGAACTCACATATATTAATATTAATCTCAGTAGGAAAATGAGGGACTCTCACTATCTTCCTCCAGTCACAGTTATTTGATAATGGGCGCATGGTAGACTGTAGAGCTACATATCGGGTAATCTGCAAGATAACAAATCATCTGTGATGGTCGGTATGAACTCACTTTTTAGAAACTTTTGAAAATATTACCATAAAATCCAAGAAATCATAACTTTTATTTATTTATTTATTTGAACACATAGATATTGGTACAAGGGGGCACCAGATACATATGCGTCACACAAATCTCATTTGACTTATGTGAGGGCTGTGATACTGCCCGAGTGCCCAAATCGAAGCAGGTGGTTTTCTTAGGGGGCCACACCCCGAGCCTCCGACCTAAAGGTCTGATCCACAAGACAGTAGAGTATCGTCAGGTCTCATGGTAGTCAGTGACCAACGATTGGTTCATACGCCATTTTTTCCCTCAGGACACTAGAGCCCATGTGCACTATTGGTTTGAAATCAGGGTTTTCCAACTGCCAAAGGTGGACTCTCCGTGTCCGCCAACCCGGGTAAAGCGCTGGACATTCGCTTTTCGTCCTCTCAATTTCGTAGACAACACCCCCTCTACGAGAAAGCAGTGAGCAGGACTTCACTGGCAGAGACTATATACTTGTGGCCATGTGAGAGCAATTCGGGAGGTAGAGCGGACTCTCCCCATTCTCGGCCGTACTAGGGCATTTAGGGAAAAAGTGTCGCATCTGGTTGTTTCAATATGGAAATTCTGGGCATCGATCCCAAGCCTTCTCGCATGTTAAGCGAGCGCTCTACCACTGAGCTATATCCCCAACAAATCATAACTTACCGTACAAAAAAGATCTTGTTCTTTTCTGGCCTGCTATTAACTTCAAAGAAAGATCAGTCAATGTTACGCTAATTCTGTAGACTAGTATACTATTTTTCTTAATTCTCTTCTCACTTCTTACAGTCAGAATGTATGCGTGAAGCGTTCAATGAACTTGATACTTCAAGCGAAGTCTTGGAAGTTGCTGTAATACCACCTCCGGCTGTTCAATCTCGTCTTCGTTTAACGACGTATGGTTTCGCTGGAACTATGCATTTTGACTTACCTCGGTCATCTGATCAAGTAGAAGTTTTTGAATCTGCAGCTGCAAGTCCTCGGATAGCTCGATTTCGTCTTTCGCTTCTACGGCTTGCAACAAGTCGAGCACTGTCAATGGCTAGCCGTATTTCGCTGCGTATCAATGACCGGGGATTCCTGTCGATCCAGTACATGATAAATCTTTCAGACGGTGAAGTTGCTTTTGTCGAATTTTTTGTAAGATTTTCTTTAAAAATTATTGATATCTATGTATAGTTTGTTCGTATTTTAGTTTGCAACTTACGTGTATCAGACAGTCTCCATGCTTTACTGTATCCCATCAAATAAGAATCAGAAAAGCTAAGATCGGCAAAAAAATTGAAGTAGAATCTTATTAAGTTAAAATAAGGTAAAAACTTTCACTGTCACATATGATCTACTTAAGCCAAGGCATATAATTTGAACTTATATCTCCTAAAGCTCCCAACTGCCGTTTTTAGGTTACTTTACGTACTTCACTTAACAAAGTCTTCAGTTGTATGGTATTCCTCCATACTTCACATGGTTTTCAAGACCAATGACAGATTGACTCGCTAAAACTAGACTGATCTTTGTTCTGGCCTTATATGTATTGATCATCACCCTCCGCCGAATGTCAGAGCACCATGACATCAAAGACATCTTTTATTCGTCGTACGGGGTTCTCCTCTGTCATTTTCTGTTGCAGAAGGGTGTATCTGCGAACTTTATCAAGGTATTGAAGGCTTTGTACACAAACATTTCGGGCAATGTGAGGGCGTACAACCGCCTTTCTCCGTTCTTATAAGAAGTGATGGCTAAGGGGAGCTGCTCTGTCACACCATTTCTCCTTGACTTTGCCATCGGTGATTTTCCTGAAACAACTCTAACAGAAGTAATGGTGGTATTGATCTTTTACCTGGAGAAAGACTTTCCTATCTGAAGTATGTGAATGGCCATTACCTTACAGTGCAATAATACCCAAGCTATCCAGACTACTTAATAGGTTGGCAGTCAGTGTTCGTACGTATGGCATGTACTTTGTACCTTCTAAATACAAAGTGCTTTTACAAAACTGTCGGGATTCTATGACTTCACTCTTTTCAGTGAGACGTTAGGAGTAGTTGAGAAGTTCGTGTATTTGGGTAGCTATTTAAGTTCTGGTGGTGGCGTAGCTGATAAGACCAGTTTACGTAAATTGAGACGAGCTTATGGCGATCTGGTTTATCATTGGCACTGTCACAATGTTAACCTGGATGTAAAACATCGGGTTTACAACGTATCGGTCGGAGCAATCTTGTTCCCTGCTTTTGATCCTTCGTCACTGAATTGAGTGTGTTTGGCAGTTATGTGTCTGATGATAATTGTCTCCGAAGCATTGTTGAAGTCTAGTTTCAACCCCGTGTTCGAAATCCCGAAGTTCGTTAGTGTGTTTGGGTGTAGTGACTAACATTCAGTTCCTGTCACCATCTGGAAACACCGACTAGTGCCTTGGACACGCGTTACGGTTGTCACCTTCAGTCAGTAAAAACGTAGAACTTCGTACGTACGTACATCAGTTCGAGTTGCCACACCACATTAGCACAGAGATGCAGTAGTCGATTCAAATCACGTAGTAGTAGAGTTAATAAGAGTATAAGCAGTAATCGGAAATATTAGTGTTTGGAGATGTCACTTAAAGAGTATAAAACAGTGAAATAGACTTGGGAAGAGAAAAAAAGAGACAAGGGGGAATCAGGAGATCAGAATCTGGGAGAACACAAAGAGTGGATGCACCTGCGCCATTGCAAACGATTTTGAGCCATGTCATTCAAGGTCTCTAACCATCGGTTGCTATCATCTCGCGGTCCTCAACCAGGTAGTCTACACCTACCGACATGACTCAGTCAACTTGTCAGTGACTTCATAGACTTGTGCCATGTTTTGGTCTGGTCGCCCCTAGCTTTCTTCCAACCTACTCCTATACCACTGAACATCGCACGTCGAGGCAGTCGATCGTTGGGCATACGTAACATGTGTCCCAGCCATCTCACCTGATGAAGTTTCACCCATTCATCAATCGATTTGCCATCCTTACCTAGTACTCGTTTCCCAACAACTGCATTACTTACTCGATGGTCCCAGGATATACGAGCAATATTTCAAAGACACCTGTGATCAAATACTAGTAGTCTACGAATATTCTCTACTCTTACCGGCCATGTTTCACTGCCATAAAGCAGGACGGAACGAACTGATGCACATTAAACACGTCCTTTGGTTGATAGACGGATACCTCGCCCACGCCACAAATGACGCAAGTTGGCAAAAGCTAGTCGAGCCTTCTGTATCCGTGCTGAAATTTCGTCACACACCAGACCACAAGGGCTGATGAGACTTCCAAGATAAGTGAAGCGATCGACACGCTCAATTACTTCACTCCCTATCATTAGTTCGGGTGTCGATGCAACCCAATCCTGAAGCAACATTTTGCATTTCGAGAGAGAGAGAATCGCATCTCGAACATGCTTGCATTGTTGCTTAGAGTGGTCAGAAGACTCTGCATTTTGTCAGCGTCTTCGCCAAATAAAACTATGTCATCAGCATATTCTAAGTCAACAAGTGAACCTCCTGATAGAAGTTCAACCCCTGTAAATTTAGATGAGGAAAGTGTCATCTCTAAAAGTAAGTCAATGAAAAAGTTGAACAAGAAAGGAGAGTGGACAGCCCTGACGAACACCACTTGAGGTAATCAATTCTGATGACAGTTCGCCATAAGCTCTCACTCTACCAGTTGTGTTCGAGTAGAGAGCCTGAATAAGGTTAATGTATTTCTTTGGTACTCCTTTCAGTGACAAACACTGCCATAGAACCTTACGATCAACAGAGTCGAATGCCGCCTTAAGGTCGAGAAATACTACCATTGTGGGGCGTCTGAACGTGTGTCTGTGTTCCAGAACCTGACGTAGTGTGAATACCTGATCTATACAACCACGTCCAGGTCGAAAACCAGCCTGATTTTCTCTAGTCTGCTCTTCACGAGCTTTGGTTAGGCGTCGAAGTATTATTGAAGCTAATATTTTAGACACTATATTAGTCAAACTGATTCCTCTGTGATTGTCACAAGAGGACTTTTGTCCTTTCTTAAAAACTGGCACAATCAGTGATTGAGACCAGGCAGATGGGATTACGTCCAGTTCCCAAATTCTACCTAAGACCCCAGTTAATCTCACTCCTAATACTGAACCACCATCCTTAAAAATCTCAGGAGTAAACCTGTCAGGGCCTGCTGCTCTCCCTCGTTTAAAATTTCCTATGGCTTTTTGAACTTCGTAAAGAGACGGAGGACCTACATTAACTTGCCACTCAGGTTGACTAGAGATCGTGGGAAATCGAAGTGTGGCTGAAGGCCAGTTAAAATGGTCCCTGAAGTGTTCTGCCCATCGATCCAATCTCCTGGATTTAGAGTGTATAATATGTCCATCTTTCTCTGAGAGTGTTTCCCTAACAGTCGGTTTCCTAATACCGGTTTCCTTAACAAGTCTGAATAATTGTCTGCTATTACTTATTGCCGCTGCCTTTTTCATATTTCTTGCTTTCGCTACCCACCACTGTTCACGATCATTGCGTAGACTTCTTGTCAGCTTGCGCTTAAGCTGGCTCCGCTCTTCATTATGTTCAGAGCCAGGTGGAATGAGTTTCCGAGCATCTATCAGTGCGATAGATGCTGCTGAGATCCAGTGTCGTTCCCTAACCTTACGGGTTACCGTACTAGCAGATATCACTGCTATTTCCACAGCTTTACGTATATCATTCCATGCTGCCTCGGGGTGGGCATCACATACATGGCTGCCTAACTGTTTTCCTAGTTGTTCCTGAAATATACTCTTAGCTTGACTATCATTAAGTAGGGCCCTAGGAGGTTTACTTGCAGCGTCTTTCCTACGTCCAGTAAGACGCAGACAGATACGCGGTCGTACTAGAGCATGATCTGAATCTAAGCATGTGCTCCAGAATGAGCGACAGTCTTCTGTCGAGCCCCTCCATCGGTGGCTGATAGCGATGTGATCTATTTGGGTCCAACGTTGGGACGAATTAGGGGTTCTCCATGTTAAAAGATGTTTTTCCTTATGCTTAAAGTTAGTATTTGCAAGAAAGAGGCGGTTATCCGAGCATAGCTGCAACAGACGGTCGCCATTATCTGTTCTTTGAGCCATTATGCTATAAGATCCACCCAGGTGTCTTTCCCTATCGCTTAGTTTACCTACTTGAGTATTAAAGTCACCGGCCATTATTACTACATCTGAGCGCCTAGCTTTTCTGAGAAGGTCGAAGAGCTTTCTGCAAAACTCATCTTTTACATCATCTGCGCTGCAGTCAGTGGGAGAATAGGCAGAGACGACGAAGAGGCAACGACGAGTGTCCTTGTCTTTCCGGATTCTTACTGTTCCGTTCAGTCGGACAGCGCACAAACGACTGTCTACTGGGATCCACTCTAAGATAGCTAGTTCTGCCCTAGGACTCAATGCTATGCCTACGCCGGCGAGGCCACGGGAAGCAGAATCAGGGCTTCCAGATACACGAAGTGTGAATCGAGTCAGTTCTTTATTTTGGCATGGTGAGGTCAGATGAATGACGCTACTTGGATCCTGTATGCGCGTTTCGGAAACGCAGCACACATCGATGGCGCGGGACTCTAAAGTCCTAGCTAAGGAAGCCTGTTGCCCTATTTGGCACAGTGTTCTGATGATAAAAGCTACTACGTGTAGTTTAGAGCGTGGTTTCAGGAGACCAGGAATAACGTTCCGAGTACTCGAATCGTTTGCCTTAGCGGTGCGAGATGATAAAGAGACGTGAAGAGGGTCAGTCATGGAAATAAGAGAGGTATTAGGAGGTGTAGGAAGGATTTAAATGTGACCAACTTGGTCTCGTGCGCTGTTACGGGTATGAGGCCTGATATCACTTCCCGGCTGCCCACACCGTGGAAGGGTATTTCTTGAGGAACCTGAAAAGGAAATTCGATTAGTGTTGGTCTTAACGACCTGGGAGCGTGACCGCAGAGCCCAAGGGACAACTGCTTGAGGCCGGTCGCGCACGGCCCTTTTGTGGAAGGTTTTTAATGAGTTAGCTCCGTTCTTCAAAGGGCCTTACTGCCGGAGACGGAAATCCGTGAGGTAAGGTGAGATGTGGCATTTTTAGGGTCGACCTTTTCTAACCCCACCCCTCCTTGTGGGAAGGCA